TCAATATTTCTAAAAAACGATAGAAATTTATTTAATATTTTACTGCTATCATAACTGTGGCTTAAAACAGAATGATGGATTTACAACTGTTCTCGTATTTACGTAAATTACATATGTTTTTGTATGCCTTAAATAAAAAATTCCAAATATAAATAATAAGAGCATAAAAGTCATTTATTTATATAAAAGTTATTTAATATATTTATTTAAGATTTTTCTTTTTATCATTTTTGTGATTTTAATGAAATTTAATTTTTTATTTAAAAATTTTAGTTTTTATTTAAGGCATTTGAAATAACCATAATTTAATTTTTCGTTTAACGAATTTATTTTTTATTTAATATATTTACAATGTTCTAATTAATTTTTTTTCCAATATTTTTCTTAATCACATGTGGTTTAGAACGTGAAAAACAGTTATTCGAATTAAACACTGAAAAAGAATAATAAAAACAAAAATCAATGTGATGTGTACATTAAATATGTATAAGATCACATGTAATTCAAAACATAATTCATAATTTACAAATATCAAATCTCATGTTGTTGATAACTTACATTTCTTTTTCATTTAAATTTACTATGATCAATATCACATATGATATTTTGACAAAAACTAGTGACTTCTTTTTTTGAAAAAAAAAACGTGGATTAATTGTGGATATCACATGTGATTTTTGACAAAAATTATAAAAGAAAATTCTTAATTAAATTACTTCAATAATAAAATAAATATTTTAAATGAAAAACTAAATTAATGGTTATTTAATAAAAAAAAATAATCATATTTAAATCACAAAAATTGTTAAAAAAATTCAAAATAATATCTTAGTTAAATGCATATTTCTTTTGTAAACATGAGAACCAAAGTCGGTGGTTGATTAGAATTTAGATAACTAATCAATGGTTAAACATAAAATGCTTATTTGAGAAGTGATTAGAAGTAAAAATGGAAGTCTGATCATGCGCTTACCATTTTGACTTTTTATTTTCTTTTTTAATTAAAAAAATTGTTACCCTTAATTTTTAAACTAAATTATCTTATAATAATTAATATTTTAATCAAACAAACTACATCATAAAATCGAGCATTTCATTATCTTCGATTTCACATCCATCTCGATATAGTTTTTTTGTTTTTGACTTTTTTTACATCAAATAATGTATCTATGTAATATTCATTAAGAATATTTATGCATATTCTCATGTTTACAACAGTTCTTTAATATTCATATATTAGTATGATATTCATCATGAATATACAACTTAGTATATCATTCATCATGAATAGTTATGTATTTTCACGTGTATTCAAAAAATCTTTTGTATTCATACATCACTATAACATTCATCATTATTATACATTTTCATTATAACATTCATCATGAATATATATATATATATATATATATGTGTGTGTGTGTGTGTGTGTTCACGTGTATAGAATAACTTTTCAATATTAATACTCATTATGAGTAGTATGTATATTAATGATGAATATTATGATGAAATAGTATATTCCTAATGAATATCATACTGATTTATGAATGTTGAAAAGTATAAATATTCATGATACATAATATTTATATTATGATGAATAAAATGTATCATATTGATGTATGAACACTAAAGAATTATTGTCTTCATGTGAATACAACAACTAGATTCATTGATTGTGGTTTTGGTGCATGTATGACTACGTGAGAAGGGTTCACTCTATTTTACATAAAATACAACACACGTATGCAAACTGTAGTTAATAATATATGCAAAGTACAATCTGTAATTAACAATATGATGGATTAAGTAGAAAAATGTATCGACATATATATATATATATATATATAATCAAAGATTTGTATACTTTGTTTTTAACTTATTTACAATATATATATATATATACATATATATATATATATAATCAAAGATTTGTATACTTTGTTTTTAACTTATTTACATCTAAATCAAAATATTTATAAGTTGATGGAGATGGTGGGTATACACATGACATGCACCTAAAAAGAACACAAAGGAACATGTGGACTTCTTGTAAATATATGTTACCACTAAAGATATAGACATGAAAGTACCCTTTGCCTAAAAGATGTCTCTTTTTTACATTGCCAACAATGTTTGATTTATAAGCTTTTGTCTTGATCATAATTCATGTTGCATGCAACTTTGCTATTAAAATTTAGGAACCCTTTGAACTGTAAATTAAACTCGACTGTTGGTGATTTTGAATTTCATATTCTTTTCTATTAAAGATTATCGCTTTTTCATTCGTAGTTTTCAAATGATCTGTGACATAAACACGCTTTATGTTCTAGGAAAGACGAATGTAAGGAAATAAAAGAAAGTTGAAAACGAACCATTAGATCGTCACTAAGATTTTTAATTGACTGGTTTTCTTGAATATTTTGTATTTTCTTTGGTTTTTAATTGTGTCACGTTTCTGATATTCCTAATTGAGAATGCTCTCAAATATTTAAAAATCCATTTCCCAAAAGTGAATGTTTATCTATCGAGGATTATGGCTTCTCTTAGAGAGAAAGAGACGATTAACCAGTTAGGTTCCTAACTGGTTTATATTGGTCTCTGCCCTCTCATGTTGATAGATTCTTCAAACTGAAGAAATAAATCTTTAAAACAAAAAATACATTCAACTTTAGTAGATTCTTCATTTTAAAGTTTACAATATTTATTATATTATTAAAATCTTTCTTTCATTTAATAAAATACTATTTTTCTTTCTAAATATTTATTTTCGAAGCTCCTTATTGTTGGAAATATATTAAATAACATTTTTCCATGTTGTAATCATTTTTGGAATGTTCTCCTAATTTGGAGCATCTTCAACAGATTCTACAAAATAGAGATTTTGACAAATTTTGTTCCAACAAATTCTCCAAAATAAAAAAAGTTGCAGAGAAGATGATGAAAATCTCTAAATTTAGAGATTTATAAAAAAAAATGGTTATTTAGAGCATTTCCAACAGATTCCCAAAAAAATTCTAAAATAGAAAATCAAAAGTTGAAAGCTCTAAAAAAAACTTACATTCATCTTCAATAGATTCCATATTTTGTAGAATCAAACATTTATTATAATATTAAAATATTTTATTATAATATTAAAATATTTTATTTATATATTAAAATATTATTTCTATCTTTAAATAATTATTGTCAATGTTTTCTATTAATAGGAAATATATTAAAAATATTTCTTTCACATGATAATCATTTTTAAGGTAATCTTTATATTTGGAGAAAAAAAAAATCTTTTATACTTTCTCCATTTTAAAGATTTTAATTTTAGTTCAAATTCTATATTTCCTCATTTTATTAATTTTGAAAAATTTGTTGAAGATGCTCTTAGGAAAGATAAATAATTTTTTATTATTTTTACCACTGAGATCCTTTTAAAATTAATATTTAAAAGAAAGAAATAATATTTTACAAATTGTATTGAATATTTTAATAATATAAATAACAAAGTAATCTCCAAAATGGAGATGTAATTGAAGATTTTGACTTTTAATTTCCTACAAGATTTTGACTTTTAATTTCTTCATTTTTGGAGAACTGTTCTGAAGAAGTTGTTGGAGCAAAAAACATGCTCAAAATCCCTAAAATCTATATTTTCTCTATTTCAGATAATCGGTTGGAAACGCTCTTTTCCCAAAAATGCGTAATTGGTTGGACTTGACTGATTCCTAATCAATCGTAACGATTTCTCTTCTAACCAGTAAAAGAATCAATCAAACAACATAGTCTAAAATATTTTTTTAAATAAAATATTAAAAGTTAAAATCTTTAAAAAATTAGATCCAATTTCCAATGACTACAATTTTTTTAGCAATTTTAGAATTAATTATTATTAAAATATTCGATACATTTAATAAAATATTATTTCTTTCTCAAACATTTATCTTTAATATCTTTTATTAGTGAAAAAGAATTAAAATATTATACGGAGTTTTAGATATTTCTCTATATTTAAAGATTTTCATATTTTCTTTCTATCTTTTTTATATTTTATCATACAATATAGCATAAATATTTGAACACAAAAACTCTTAAATTATCAAAAATTTCTATTGGGCAAAATGCATGAAAAACTAACGTACTTCAACTTGATTCCTATTTTAGGTAATGTACTTTCAAAACTTCTATTTTGGTACCTAAGATGTAAAGTTTTAAACATTTAAGTACCCGGATAACCGGTTGGGCACTAATTGTAGATTAAAAAAAGATTAATTTTAGATTAAAAAAAATCTATGTCACTAACCACGTTAGCAAATAATACCGAGTTAGATACCACATCACTCACCACATTAACATGATAACTTGTTACTGGATACTTAAATATTTAAAATTTTACATCTTAGGTACCAAAATAAAAGTTCTGAAAGTATGTTACCCTAAATAGATATTAAATTAAAATACGTTACTTTTTTCATACAATTTACTCATTTCTATTATAACATAAGTGTCAATTTGTAACGTTATCAAAGAATATCCCAAAAAAACATATACTTTTTGGTCGGTTACTAATAGACATATACATACTCCATTCAAACTCAACTTAATTTTAATGCGATCTAAATAAGATAGTGTACGAGAAAGCCATTGTTGATGAGGTTGCTAACCTCATCATCTTTCGGTTGTAATTATCGTTATTTAGCATGTTAAATGTGTGATTTTGAATATGACCCTAAAATTTTGGGGTCCAAGGCCACTCGAGGTTGAACCTTTTTTTTTATTAACTTCAATATTTAACCCACGACGACCACCTGCTTTGCAGGTAGTCCGGAGTCACCACACTTGAACCTCCGTGACCACAATGAGATTTTTATTCATCTTTGGATTTGAACCTGGACCTCCAAACACTTTTGACTTTTAGAGCTCAAGCTCAAACCAATTTGACACCACCCTCGTGGTTAGTAATCAGCCTTTTTACGCAAATAATATATGTGGAAATCATTATACAAGTGATCATATAGTAGTGTGGTTTTATCATGAACTTTCTCCTGTTATTTACAGACCAAAATTCAAAATAACCTAATCAATAATTAATCGCTATAGAAATATCAATAATAACCTATATTGTGGTTCATGACACCGGGACTGACCCTCGTAAACTTTTAGTTAAAAACAAGCTCAACATAAACAGCAACATTGCCTATCGCCTCACCTGCGACGGTTGATCAAACTCAACCCAACAGACGATATATTTCAATACGGCAAAGGGAGGATGTTACCCTGCTCATTATACCCCAAGCTCCTCGAGTGCGTTCTTCCAATACATATCTCGCACCAAAACTCAACAAGCAGAGTCCAGGAGATCAAAAGCATAAAGCCGCAGCCTAATTCCCAAGAACATATGGCACCTGTGTATCAAGATTTTACGTTAATAATTAGATGTGGGTCCTAAAGAGTAGTTGATCATATTGTGAGAATATGTGGAATACCATTAGATTACTCTCCAAAAGAGTCCAAGGAGAGAACAGATGTGGGACACTAACAGATATAATGAAATAGGATCGGATTCAGAGGAAAACCGCAAAAAAAATGAAAAACTGAGAAACATCCTAGTAACTATTCATCAGGACAGTATGCACATGTGCGTATAAGTAATTTGTAAGCAATTTGCATGTTATCCAAGAAACAACCTCAATTACTTGTATGCACATGTGCATACCATCAAGACAAATGATTACTAGGGTGTTCCTCAGTTTTTCCTTTTTTTTAGGGTTTTCCCCTAAACCTCCCTTCAATAATTGTCACTGGAAGAACCTTCAATATACCATTAACTAAGCTGGAAGAAGTGCCATTTCGATCTCTTGCAAAGTTTTTCCTTTTGTTTCCACCACATTGTTCTTGACAAAGAAAAATCCCAACAAGCAAAAGCTTGCGAAGACTGTGTACAGAATTTGGGCCCCAAGTTGTTCCAGCAACCGCAAAAATAGCAAACCAACAAAGAAATTTATAACCTGTAAAAAAAATGCGTAAGGAAAGCAATCAAACGAAAATCCAACCAAAACCAACTGAGAATATACGAAATGAAAACCAGCAAATACAAATAGTGTCATAAATCATATGCAAATATAACAGTTTGTAGAAAAATCAAGTAACATAGAATTTCAGATGGTGTGGAGATAAATGAAATTAGTGGGATTTACTGGGTCCGTCTAGTTTGGTTTGGTTTGATTTATGGAGATTAAAAAAACTATAATGATAGATGAGCAAGGTTCAAAGGAAAACCGCAAAAAATAAAAAAATCGGAAACACCATAGTAACCATTCATCTGTACGGTATGCACATATGCATACAAGAAATTGTAAGTAATTTTTCCAATGTGCACATGTGCATAGAAACCAGGAAACATCTTCAATTACTCGTACGCACATGTGCATACCGTACAGATGAACAGTTATTAAAGTGTTACTCAGTTTTTCATTTTTTGGGGGGATTTTCTCCTAGACCTCACTCAATAATAGATACATGTTTTTCATTTTTTTGGGGGTTTTCCCATGAAACTCACTCAATAATAGATAATCATGTATTCATAAAAATGAACAGAAGAAGTTTAACCGAATGTTGATGATAAAGACTCGGCATTTACCCAATGTACAGCCATGCAGATTGCCATTGCTTTTGCTCTAATTCGGCTTGGGAATATTTCTGACAAGAGGAGCCCAGGTACCGGCCCAACGCCCATGGCAAATGACAATACAAACCTGTATTTGACATAAGAAATATCGATATATCTGATGTCTTGAATCTACAAATGTCACATCTATATCAATTTAAGGACATGTTCCCTTTTTGTTCCTTCCTTTTACTCCATCCATCCCAAAATAAATGTCCACAATGAAAATGGCACACAGTTTTAGGAATGTGCAGTTATTACACTTTTTAAATAACTAAGTGACACTTTTACCCTTGATAATAGCAACTTTCTCCATCTCATAATTGAGGGTAAATGGGAAATTAGAAACTTAGTTTTAAAAGTGGATACTCATTTTGGGACAAACTAAAATAGTAATGTGGACACTTAATTTAGGACTGTGGGAGTAGTTTTTTGTTCTTGCAGCTTCATTAACACTTTCCACATACTACAAGCCTGTATGTGGTAATATCTAGCCATTTGGTGAAACATGCATTTCAGTTTAAAGACTCGGCACATGAAGTTTTGACTCTTAGCTTATTGATCCTAATCTTTTTTTACTTTAGTTTTGCAGGTTATCTTGATTCTCATTCATTGTGAATAGCATTGTAGTAAAGTAGTTGACTACTCACAGTAGCACGCCACCGACAGAGAGGTACACCACTGAAGAGCCTGATACAAAGGTACTTCCAGCAACTGCTTGCATGGCCATCGAAAATGCCTGAATCAATCAAAATATTTATGAAAAATGTCTAATACAAAGTTGGGAAGATAACCTTGAGAACTAGAGCATCATATGCTATTTCATACGATCCTTTCTTCATTTAAAACTAGAATTTAGAATATCGATTAACATATATTTGTTTCACAACCTTTTTAGCTTGTTTGTGAAACAAAAGTTACACGTAAAAAAGTTTCATATTGTGAACCACATACATATGAAGCAAACACATTATGAAACAAATACATGTTCATCAATACATCAAATGCTAGCCTTAGACGAGAAAAATAATGTGAAACAATCCCTTTAGTTAAAAGTTCTGACGGTTATCACAATATATGGAGTTCTCAAATGATCAAGCCCCTATATATAGGTGGAGATTCAAACGAGAACACCTCCATTTTACGAAAATGCGAGAACACCCTTATCACATGTAATAGTACACGTGAAGAGATCCGGTAGTTTGTGGACAACTTGGCCCACGACCTACGTTGTGCCAAAGGTCGTCCGTGTCTCTAATTTAGTATCATGTTTATATCATATGTGATGGATTACAGTATCACATCGAGAACACCCTTATCGCATGTGATAATACACATGAGGTGGCCTAGTGGTGTGTGGGTGACTTGGCCCGCAACCTAGGTCACGCCGAAAGTTGTCTACGTCTTTGATTTACCATCGCATGTGTATCATAATATGATAGACTATGGTATCACATGCGATTGACTATAGTAAAAGGTGTTATCGCGATTTCATCAAATGAAGGTGGTCTCGTTTGAACCCTTCCCTATATATATAAGGTTGGGTTCCGGTGAGGATGAAAGTTATGGTGAAAAGGGTAAGATGAGATCTCCACCCTTGGATCAATCTAATTGAAGATCAACACTGATGTCGCAGCGAGATGCACCGGATCATTCCCGTGATGTGCATAGTTCATGTGGTAGGGGTGAGATTAAAAGTGATCAAGGGTCCAGCTCCCTTCTTACGCTTCACACCTTAACTCCTATTCTCACACGATTCTTATCCACATATATATATATATATATATATAGAGAGAGAGAGAGAGAGAGAGAGAGACTTGGGATCATGTGAGACCAGCCTGTTTTCGTGAGACTCGTGAGACCAGCTTTTTACATTTGAAACTTCACAGCAAAATGAGTGAAGGTTTAAAAAAGTCGAACCTTCACAGCAAAAACACTGTGAAGGTTACCTTCACAGCATTTTGTTGTGAAGTTTCAAGTGTAAAAAGCTGGTCTCGCGGGTCTCACGAAAACAGGCTGGTCTCACATGATCCCAAGTTTATATATATATATATATATATATATATATATATATATATATATATATATAGGGGCCTATTCAAGGGAGAACTGAGTTGTTTGTGG